GATGCAGACGCATCACCCACGGTTATCGACATCGCGGAACAGGATCACACGACGCGTGAGCGGCTTGGGTGTTTGCAGGAGCTCCTGTTCAGCACGTGCACAGGGCTAAAAGATCAACGGCTCAACGTGAGTACCAAGGCACTTAGCGTACTTACAGCTTACCTTGTACGATACTTCCCGCAGCTCAAAGCGCTAGCACCAGAAGCGCCTATAGTCACGCGCGTGGAGGAGTGTCTGGCAGCCGCTCAGATCTGTACCGCTGACTTGCTCGCGTGGTCCATGGCGCTGAATGAGGAAGCTGCAGTCCCTGCACAAGAACAAGAGCAGACCGAAGAAAAGACGCACACGTGTCGAGAGCATGATCACCTTCTAGCTGTTATTGACGAGCTTATCGCTTTGAACAAGGTCATGACGGCGCGTCTAGCGATTGTCGAAGCGGCGCAGCTAACAACAAAGAGAGCACACGTCACTACTGAACAAGAACAAGTTCAAGCATCGTCAGACCAAGCACGGAAACCAAAACGCAGAAAGAAGCAAGCTACAAACCTGTCTGCCACATGGTACGAATGGTACACCAGGGTGCCTCGCGTCTGGGACTCAAGCGATCGCCAGAAGTAGTCGGAGTTCCGCCACGTCGTCGCCTTCATGAAGCTCTTCCTCACTCAGGGCTTTGCTCTTGATGCTAAGGCGGAGGACTACAAAGATCAAGTCCTCGATGCCGGTCGCCGCGCTGAAGACGCTGTTCTCGCGTTCTTGAAGGCACAAGGCACCAACGCAAAGGGTGCCGGAAGCGTTCTGCGTGTACTGCGCCAACTGCACAAGTCAGGAGCCTTAGATGAGCGCATCGCCGCGTACACGCGTCTCCTCGCCATCGGACGCATTGAAGACCCCGCTCCTGTCGACACACAAGACATACTTGCCATAGCAGGCCACGTGTAAAACACACAGAGATCCATGCATCAAATACATATATTTCATAGCCTCATATCCACCACCGCCTACACTAATAGCAACACTCCTTACCGTAAGCACGCCGCCCTTCCCACATCGCTATCTCCACCCACACGCGCACAAACACACTGCACACCGCACGCCTCCAGCTTCTCACTGCCCTTGTCGTATCCGGTGCTCGCTAGGCCTCCACCCAAAGTTGCTTGGCGACGGCGGGTATCGATCCCGCTCCTCAGGACAAGTCCTGCGCTCAACCTGTGAGCTTCGTCGTCGGAGTTGGGTGGGCGGAGGCCACTAGAGATCTGAGGGTTTCGGACCCAAAAA